AAAAAAAAAAAAAAAAAAAAAAAAAAGGCAATTTTTTACACACTCAATCACTGTATATCATTACAGCATACCAAATGAATTTACCCACCATGAATATACTATATATTGGTCTACTCAAAAGATATTACCATATACATTATCATCAGTAATTTTACATTGTTATGTTCCTTTTTTAAAAAATAATTATTTTACTTAACTTTATTTATTTTCATTTGACCAGAGAGGGACAGAGAGAAAGCGAAAGTAAGAAAGCAAGCCACCAGGTCCAGGACTTAAACTGCAGTTGACCATGTGGGAATCCAGTGTCCCAACCACTACACCATCTGCCAGCCCCCATTGTTGTGTTCTTAAATGTTTTGTTTCTTGGGGCTGGCAGGTGGCATGGTGGTTAAGGCGATGGAGTCCCACATGGCCCACCATGGTTCAAATCTTGGACCTGGCAGTTTAATTTCTCACTTTCCCTCTTTGGTCATATTTTAAAAATAATAGGGACCAGCAGATGGCATAATAGTTACATTGCTGGACTCCCATGTAGTCAATCGGGTTGGAGTTCTGGACCTGGAGGCTAAAACTCACAGGTGTGCATGTGTGCCCCCAAAATCCTGAGAGGAGAACGGAGGAAAAGCGATTGTGGTGTGGCCATCTCCCTCCCCAGGGGGAGGATGATTTCTAGCTGTCTCTTTAGTGAGCACAAGTGCCCTATAGCAAAAATCTCTTTAAAATAAATAATCAAATAGTAAACTCCTTGAGAAATAGTCCTAAGTTTGGCTTGTTATCAAAAACCTCAACTTTTTTTGTTTGTTTTTAAGTCAAAGTATACATGTGCTCACCAGAGACAGAGAGACAGAGAATGGGGAAGGGAGAGAGACGAAACAACCTCCAGTAGGGCAAGCCATGCAACAATCCCTTCACCCTGCTGGGATTTCAGGCATGCGCATGTTTCAAGTTGCCAGGGCTAGGAGCAGAACTGTGGTCAGCCATGTGAGATCTGGTTCCCTTAACCACTAGGTCATGAGATCAGCCCCAAACCTCAACTCTTTTGGAAAAGTTATCTATGTTTTAAAATTATTTAATTTTATTTATTATTATTTTTTATTTGACCAGAGAGAAAGGGAGAGTGAGAAAGCAAGCCTCCGGGACCAGGACGTGATCCGTGGTTGATCATGCCACCACATTACCTTCCAGCTCCAAAAGTTACCTATTTTAAAAGGTACTGTTGAGGTAGCTGGATATCACATGGCTGACTGCGTGGTGTGAGTCCTGGATCAAATCACACCAGGTATGTGTGTGTGCGTGCCCAAGATCCCAAGAGAATGGAGAAGAGATTGCAGCGTGGCCTTCTCCTTTGGGGGGTGGGGGGAAATTTCTCACTTTCCCTCTGTTTCTCTCCAGCAAACTAAAAACAACAACTACTACTACTATAAGGCCTTACCCTTTTTACTCTGAGACTGTGTCTTGGACCTGAGAATCCGTATTTTCCATAGCCCAGGTGATTTGGATATAATATTTAAGTGGGCAGCAAAAAGCAGGAACACTAGGATACTCATTTCTATCTTTAACATCTAAAAATTTTTAAGAAGAGCAACTGACACAGGAACAAACAGGACAAATATTTTGTCGAATGAAAGTACAATTTCTGGAGGACAAGTCACTTATTTTTGAAAGTCCATTTCATATTACAAATAACATGGGCCTAGCAAATTAGGAAACAAATTCCCTCATATTTTCTTAAAATATAATGGAAAACTTCAGCTCGGCAAAAGAACTGTAAGTGTGCATAAGGTAAACCAAATAGAATAGAGGTTCAACCAGCTACCTGATTTTTTTTACTTTAATCTGTTGGGAGAAAAAGCTCTAGAAAAGTAACACCATAACAAACTTATTAAGAATAAAATCTGGGGGACCAGCAGTTACCGTAATGGCTATGTCGCTGGACTCCCATGTAGTTGACCGCGGTTCGAGCCCCAGACCCGGTGGCTTAAACTCACGCCAGGCGCGTGTGAGTGCGTGCCCAAGATCCTGAGAGGAGAATGGAGGAGAAGGGATTGAGGCGTGGCCATCTCCCCTGGGGGGTGATTTCCTGCTCTCTGTCCCTCTCTGTCTGGTGAGCATACACACCCTATAGCAAAAACAAAACAATACAAAACAAAACAAACAAAAACCCCTCCCAAAAAAAAAAAAAAAAAGAAAAGAATAAAATCTGGGACACAAAATTAGCAAGCTACTAGCAGTTTCAATAAGGAAGAAACTACTACTTGTACTGAATTCCGCCTTCAGAGAGCTTTATTCTTTTAAGAAAATCACTTAACCAAAGTTTCATTCTGTCAACAATGTCAAGTTATGAGTATCTCTCTACTATGTACCAGGTACTGCTCTCCAGTTCCTGCCCAGCTTCCAGATGATCCCCAGTCAACCTTAAAATCCAATAATTCTGGGGACCAGCAGGTGGCGTGGTGGTTAAGGTGCTGGACAATTCCCATATGGTTCACCATGGTTCAAGTCCTGGACCTGGTGGCTTGCTTTCTCACTCTCTCTGTGTCTCTCTGTGGTCAAAAAAAAACAAAAAAATGAATAAATAAAATTAAAAATAAATAATTCTTTTTTAAAAAAATCCAATAGTTCTGCAATATCACCCATGAGCTACTAATTTCTTTAACCTTTACATTTAATTATAGTAAAGGTGATGAACTACAATATCAGATTACAAAATAGATTCTATTCTGTATTTACAAACTGAATTCAGTTCTAAGTGCCTTATATGTATTAATTTACACACAGAATCCTAAAAATCCTGAGACGAGATACAAATATCCCCATTTTACAAGTGAAGAAATTGTAGCTAACTCAGGATATCTGCATACTATGCTATATTGTAACATCTGAAGAACCTTTGCAAACTCTTTCAAATACTTACCTCATCCACCTAGAAAAGTACATTATAATAACTTAGCATTGTACTTCTCTGGTATTAAAAATGAAAAAAATTATGAAATTATATAACAGGTATCAACCTCTAAGCACCAGGCACTTCACATATATCAATGCATGTGATCCTCAAACAGATTAAGTAGCTATTAGATTATTCCATTTCAAGGTGAAAGTGGAGGATATGAAAGCAATTTCACTGTTCAAGGTCATCTGTAAAAGCAGCAGATTTGGTATTCGAATCTTGATCTGCTCACATAACATCTTAAAGTATGGTGCTCAGTTTATGATTTAACTAAGAGTTGCCATCCCTGACATATTTTAACTGTTCTATTCTGTCTTAAAACATTTCCTGTTAAGAATTGAAAAACTGGGACCAGCAACTGGTGTAATGGCTGTGTCGCTGGAGTCCCATGTAGCCGACTGCGGTTTGAGTCCTGGACCCGGTCGCTTAAATTCACACTGGGCGCATGTCCGTGCATACCCAAGATCTTGAGAGAGTGGAGGAGAAGGGATTGCGGCGTGGCCATCCCCCCTGAGGGGTGATTTCTGCTTTCTGTCAAGCACAAGTGCTCTATAGCAAAAACCTCTCCAAAAAAAAAATTGATAAACTGCTAGACCAAACCACTCCAGAATGTTATACTCCACTGGATCTTGAATAGCTACACCCTCATGCTTTGCACCTGGGGACAAAAAGGCAAATGGCTTTTATTTTTGTGTCAACAATCTAGGTAATTTCAACACCTAAAAATTCTACAAGATGAATAAAAGACTTGGAAATAAAAAGGAAAAACCTACAAAATAAATTTAATTTTATGAAGTTTTATTATTACCATACCAAGTGATTCTAAGAAATAATCCTATGGTTGTGACTGAAATGAAACAATTTCTCCTTTAATTCAAAGTATTCTTCATGAGTTGGCTCCATGGCCTGGTGGTCAAAGAGGCTGCATCCCACATGGCCAATCCAATATTTGAGTCCTGGATCTGGCAGCTCCAGAAACACGCCGCCACACATGCCTGAGATCCTGACAGGGTGTAGAAGGGGTTGTAGCATGACCGTTCCCCATGAGGAGTGCTTTCCCTCTCTCCTTATGGCAAGAGCACACTCTTCGACAAAACATAACCTGTAAACCCATGACTAAGTAGCAGGCACATGCTACGCAAATATTTAACTTTGGCCAAATCCACATTAACGTTAATTTGTGCTAAAACATTAAAATTCGCCACTTAAAAATCTGCCTTGGGCTGTCCCTGTGGCCTGGTGGTTGAGGGAGTCAAACCCCATATGGCTGACTTTGAGGTTCAAGTCCTGACCACAGTGGCTTGAGAAACACGAGTATGGGTGTGCCCCAAATCCCTAAAGGATGGAAAAGAGATGTGGTGTGACCATGGCCCACTGGGAGGTACTTTCTCTTTCTCTGTCTTTGAGGAATACCCTCTAGCAAAGTTTAAAAAAAAACGTGCATTATCTATGACTCTAAGACATAATATGCCTTGTTCCTAGATTATAAATACTATTTAAGAAACGTGACCCTGGGGCCAGCAGGTGCTGTGGTGGTTAAGGCACTGGACTGACTCCAACAAGGTCACTGAGCTTAGAAAGAAAGAAATGTGACCCCACGTTGTTACTTTATTTGGGGATAACAATGATTAAAAGATTTTAAGGTGCTGGAAAGTGGCATGGTGGTTACGGGCACTGGACTCTCACACGGCCATCAGCGGTTCGAGTCCTGGACCTGGCAGCTTGTTTTCTCATTTTCTCTCTCTCTTGGTTCTTCTCTGGTCAAATTAAATTAAATAAAGTTAAATAATTCTTAAGAAAAAAAAAAGTCATGACTTTCCAGACCATTCAATATAAATGTCTCAGATTCTTTTCCTGTAATTCAAGACATTTTTTTTCGTACGCCAGATAAAAACACTTACCAGATTTCTAAATTAAATGATAACTTGGTTTTACTTAAGGTATATATATATATATATATACCCTCCAGGGGGGATGGCCACGCCCCCAATCCCTTCTCCTCTATTCTCCTCTCAGGATCTTGGGCATGCACACACACACACACCTGGCATTAGTTCAAGCCACCGAGTCCAGGACTTGGACTGCGGTCAACTACATGGGAGTCCAGCAACATAGCCATTTTGCCAACTGCCGGTCCCTTTAATGTATTTTAAAACAGAAAACTATGCTATCATCTAACTACAAATACTAACTTTTCATGTTGTTGGCATCATTGAATCAAGGGCACAAGTTGTTGAGCCTTACTTACTAAAGCAGAGAACACACATTTACGTATAAATTACTTTTCCTCTATATGGATCGAAACAGTAAATGAAAGACATAAAGGGCTTAGCGTGTTGTTAGACATACAAATACTCTTACCAAAATGTTAATTCCTTTCACCCGATAAGTGTCTGTCTGGTACTGACCAACTTGAATAACGGGAAATTAGTTGAGGTGAGATATGAGTAAATAAAGTCTTTTTTTTAGACTCAAGAATCTAAATCACTGTATTATGATTGTGAGCGGACATGTACAGAAATTGCTTCTCAAAGGATAAGAGCCCAAGTTAGGAACTCGAAAATACTTGACAATCACATAGAGATTTAAAATGTTTACATCCAAGTGTCCCTACTCTTCAAAGGACATAGTAGAAGGGACATAAGCTCTCTTTTACCAAGATGCTGATAGGAAAACATCGAAGTTGAGATGGCTACTTCTACTGAAAATGAATTATCATCAGAATATCTAAGAATCTTGTCATACACGCACAATTAAAACCTCATGGTTTAATGGAAAATATATCACTTTTATCCAAATCTTTACTGAAATATATTGAACATAACTTCTTTTTCAGGTTGGCTGGGGGAAAATGGATGAGAAATATAACTTAGTTAAAAAAAATTATTATGGAATGGTTCTTCAAACTCACAAAAATGAGACTTCAGAAACAGTAGTTGGTCTTTCACTTACGGACACTACTATGTGCCAGACACCAACTTGAGATTTGTAAGATTTTCAGTTTCTCTGAAGCTCAAAGTAAGAGTTTCAATTATATTTAAATTTACATGTCTATTACATCTCTTTCATCTCCAGCTGGTCAGGAAAACACATTAAATAGATTTTCAAAAATTAAACACCAGTGTGTTATAAACTCTGAAAGAAGCAGTAAGTGAGTTAAACTAATGATTAGTAGCAACTCCAAATACCACATTTTAAATCATCAGTCGTTTGAACTACACTCTTACAACTTGAAATCTGGCAATTAAGGTGGACGCAGACCAACAAAATAGTACATAAAACGACACAGAACAAAAAGCAAATTATTCCCAAACAAAATACGCATTTGCTGCAGCCAAGGAGTGATTTAAACGGAATCAGACGTTCCAAATCACAATACTGATAAACCAGTATATCACGAAATAAACGTTTTTCGGATTCCAAAGTCTTTCCTCAAGAGAAATTTACCAAAAAAGGGGGTGGCGAGACAGGAGAGAACCAATCCCAAATCACAGTAAGTGGAATTTTCAAATTCATCAATAAGGGTTTAAAAATATTTTAAAAACAATTTAGACTACAGCAGCCACGCCAAAAGATGCTCTGTTGCTGGGGAAAAAAAGACAAATGAGCAAACACAAACGGTTCAAAAATCCCTCCACATGCAAAAAAGAAAAAAAAAAATAAAAAGGCGGGAATTTCTTTATTTCAAATTTTGGTTAAAAATTAGTATGTCACACATCGCCCTCCAGGGAGCGCTCTGACACTCAGTAGTGCGTCCCTTCGGTTAATAAAGCGGGAAAACGCTCGAACTTCACCTACAGCCAGCAAGGACCGACCCTTCCGAGGCTCTCGAGGGAGGCACCGTTCCCGGGGGTCGGAGGTCCGGGGCATTAAGTCCCCGCGCGCAGCCTGGACCCCGCAACACACAAACTCCATCCACACCTCCAGACTCACACATCCAAAGTCGCGAGCCCGCAGCTCCAACTTCTGGGCTCTTCCCCCGCGCCCTGCCCGCCCGGGGCCTGGGACCCCGCAGCGAGGGAGCTTTCCGAGCAGGCGCGGGGACAGCCCCGGCGCCAGGGAGG